TGGCTGCGGTGGGAGACTACCCTGTGCCAGAGTCCTGCACGGGTCTGATTTTCAAGACCCGCTCCCGCCCCGCACCCGCGACGTGCAATGCCGAACCCGCCCCTCTACCCTCACATATTGCCAATTAGTTCCGCAACCCGACCTGACCCATCGGCACAGGATCCGCAACCCGACCCGAACCCGCATATATACAGTTGCAAGAAAAAGTGTGAACCCTTTGGAACTACCTGGAACCACACAAACAATTATATGTTTTTATTGAACACACCATGTAAACATTCACAGTGCAGGGTGGAAAAAGTATGTGAACCCTTGGATTTAATAACTGGTTGACCCTCCTTTGGCAGCAATAACCTCAACCAAACGTTTCCTATAGTTGCATATCAGACCTGCACAACGGTCAGGAGGAATTTTGGACCATTCCTCTTTACAAAACTGTTTCAGTTCAGCAATATTCTTGGGATGTCTGGTGTGAATCGCATCTCAATTGGGTTGAGGTCAGGACTCTGACTGGGCCACTCCAGAAGGCCTATTTTCTTCTGTTGAAGCCATTCTGTTGTTGATTTACTTCTGTGCTTTGGGTCGTTGTCCTGTTGCATCACCCATCTTCTGTTGAGCTTCAATTGGTGGACAGATGGCCTTAAGTTCTCCAGCAAAATGTCTTGATAAACTTGAGAATTCATTTTTCCGTCGATGATGGCAATCTGTCCAGGCCCTGAGGCAGCAAAGCAGCCCCAAACCATGATGCTCCCTCCACCATACTTCACAGTTGGGATGAGGTTTTGATGTTGGTGTGCTGTGCCTTTTTTTCTCCACACATAGCGTTGTGTGTTCCTTCCAAACAACTCAACTTTGGTTTCATCTGTCCACAGAATATTTTGCCAGTAGTGCTGTGGAACATCCAGGTGCTCTTTAGCAAACTTCAAACGTGCAGCAATGTTTTTTCTGGACAGCAGTGGCTTCCTCCATTTTATGACCAACTTATGCAGGAATCCAGGTAATTCCAAAGGGTTCACATACTTTTTCTTGCAACTGTATATTCAGTACAGTTTCAGTTCTCCATTTGATTGGCTGTCTGCCAGCAAGATAAAGCGGATAAAATACTCTAAATATAGTGTACACTTAAACTGATATTGATTATTTGCGGTACATTGCTCCCATGCTGTAACTCATGTCTGATTCTCCAAACTAGGGGTACCGACTCTTTTCTATTCTAGGTAACATACTTACTATTTAGAAGCACCTCATAAACCAAACATCAAATGATCCGAACTATCCCTTGAATCCCGTCTTTCTCTAAATCTACAAATACTCAGCATGAAAGTGCCTGGTTTTCAAATAAAACCTACATAATTTCAAGAAAACTAATACAATAAGAGCTTGCCAATGGTGTGTACTTGTGACTTGTTTGAAGCAGAGATGCTTCTTTCACTTGTCAGACGTCTCAACCAATGTGTTTCCTTTCTCATGCTGTCCAGACTTGACAGTGAAGATGACCGAGAACCTGGAAAAGTGCAGCACTTGCATACCAAGCCTGACTCATCTCCCCCTGTGGAGGGGCACGGTGACAACAACGAGAGCACAAAGGCAGACGAGCCAAACACATCCCAGCCCAGCCAAACAGACTGTGAGCGCCATATGGAAGAAACCTAATATGCCTGCACACTTGATATCTTTTTTCTTTGTATCTTAAGGGCTCCTTCCATTCATAATCGCTCTGTTTTTCTCTTCACAGACAGCGAAGTGTGGAATGTATCCGAGGAGCTGTTTCTCTCCAAAGTAAAACCAAAGGAAGGTTGCCAAATGGAAGAGGAGGCGGATAATAGCGAGGCAGAGAAGAGGCCCAAGGGAAAGGAAACCAAGGAGCCCGAGAGAGATGTGTACACCTTCCCAGGAGACTCTGACCCCGAGAGTCCCCCCCCCGCCCCCTGGGCTCAGTGCACATTCATTCAGCAGTGCAGAAAGAAGAGGGTGCTGCTCAGGCCTTTCTCTGGACTTGGCACTTTGAAACGCACATTGCCTGAGACTGACAGTCCTGGAGAATCAAACACCACCGAGTTGAGTCAAGCTGGAGGGGTGCTTGATTTTGAGGAGGCAGCAAAGGAAGAACGGAAAGAAGAAAAGGGCTGTAAAGATATCTTCACCTGTGTGGAATGTAGCATTTACTTCAAAAAGCAAGTCCACCTGCAGGAGCACATAGTGGAGCACTGTGAGAGTGGGGCGGGGGTGGGCAGGCGTTTGGGAAAAGGAGGACGTTTCCAGTGTACCGAGTGCGGCTGGAACCTGGCCAATCGGATCGCACTGTCCGATCACCATAGGAGGCACCAGGAGTCCCGTCTGAAGATCTTGGGGGAGATTGAGAAACTGAATGAAAATGGGAAGGCGAGAGAGATTCTTGAGGGTAAGACGGTGAAGCGTGTGAGCTCAGCTGTGATGCAAGATGCAAGCCCGGCCTCGGTTCCAGGGAAAATGTCAGACCCTGAAATAGTTGCACCTCTTTCCCCAGTTTCAACACCACAGGCAGACTCAGCAACTCCTACGGTTCCACGAGCTCAGGCCCGTCGCCGCTTCATCTGCTCTACGTGTAACTTCAGCACAAGAACCCCCCAAGCGCTGGCTAATCACGCCAAGACCCACACCAGGAAGAAAGCAGCCGCACTCCTGGCTGGTTCCCCGCCCTCTTCCCTGGCCTGTGGTCATTGTGCCTTCCTGACCTCCAGTCAGACTGTAATGAGGGAACACCAGAAGCTTGTTCACCCAGGACAGGCCTCCGTTTGTGGGCCGCAAGCTGATAAGACTAGAACTTCAAAACCCAGCCTGGATTCGGATCTCCTCTCTGGGTCTGGGTTGCTTAATGTGAGTCGAGGAGAAAGCCAGGAGGTAGTCTCTGCCTCTGAGGACAGCATGATGCCAAACTCGTCTCCAAGCAGGATGGTTTTGAAGCGCGTAGGGAACAGATACAGCAAACGAGGGAAATCTTGGACCAATCTTGCCAAGTTTCTGGGTGACGACAAACTGATCGGGAGTGAAGAAGAGCAGGACGAAGATCAGAGCACAGAGCTGGACGATGAGAGTTATCAACAGGACGCTAAATCACTTATTGGAGGGAAACGGCACACCAGAGCACAATCCAACACAGGTGAGGCTCAATGTTAGACTAAAGGCTCTAATGCTAATGCTAAGCCACCTTTTACCAAGTGTTCCCATGACCACAAACCAGAGAAGTATTTGGTTTTAGCATTTGGACAACACTAGTCAAGCGCTCTAATAAGTTTGAAACCAGATCATACAGAACATTGTTTTTTTCAGCAAGACATTACAGAAATGTATAACCTTCCCAAAGAATAACAACAAATAATGGAATACATTTAACAAAAGGCACAATAAAAAAAAAAAATTATAGATAAATAAATAACAACAAAAGTATACAGAAACAAATGTTGACAGTAAACAATCATTCAAAAGGAAAATCAAAACAACATACATTACTAAACATTATGTAAAATGACATGTGGAATTATCAAAAGGTCTTGACATTAAGTCACAAACAAGAAGCTAATGTGATCATTATGAATAGGAATGATATAGTTATTCGTCTTAAGTATAAGATAAAACCCAAATTGTGATCAAGCAGAAATATCCTGGAATGTGTTGTTGTTTTTTTGGGTCTTTTGTCTGTTCATTCAGAATCTGTCTTTTCCTTTCTAGAGGACTGCTCAGCACAGAACGCTTCACTATCCCTGCCTCTTAAGAAGTGTGTGAAGGAAGAAGATGAACTGGAAGTGGAGAAAGATGGAAAGCTTTTATTTTTGAGGAGAAGCCACCGGGTTCCCGCTGCTCCGGCAGAAATTGACAGCGATGATGACGACGACGAAGACATCGACGAAGAAAGTGTTCGGCGCTTCCTGTCAGAGGGCTTCTTGGATGTGGACTCGGACGAGATGGATGAGGACTCGGAGGCGCTCAGGAGCGTGGAGAGGAAATGCCCGTACTGCCCCGATCGGTTTCATAACGGCATCGGGCTGGCCAATCACGTGAGAGGCCACCTGAACAGAGTGGGCGTCAGCTACAATGTCCGCCACTTCATTTCCCCCGAGGAAGTAAACGCCATTGAGAAGAAGTTCTCCTATCAGAAGAAGAAGAAAAAAGGTCAGCAGCTCGTTGGGGTTCTTCCATGTGTCGGCTGAGAAGGTTCTCAAGCCCAGACAGACAAGGCCTGTTATTTCTCTTCATTTCAGACACAGACACTTCTTCTTGAATAACAGCTGAGAACTCTTGATATGAACTGCTTTAAGAAGTGGTGTTTGGCACGTAAAGCAGACTAGACAAAGCAAGGTCACAACATAAATCTGAAGGGCTTGCAAGATTGCTGTATTAGCTAGATTAGATTAGTTTGCAGAAATAAAGTCCTAAACCAAAGCCATCTAGACAAATAGTTAAGGGGTCTTCAAAGTAATTACAAGTCGAGACAGTATACCAAGAATCCCAAATGTCATTTGCTGCCATTTCAAATGTTATCAGCATATTTAAAAGGCGTTATCAGCGTTACTTGCTACTATTCTAATGTGTCAGATGGGCCAAACTGCACTTACTACAGTGCAAATATAGATTTACAGGAAATTGATAACTGAAAAACACGTAGAGCTTTGAACACAAAACAAACAACCTTTTTAGGTTTAAGCATGTACGAGTTATGTTATCTGTCAGTGTCACCTTCTTTTATTTCCTTGTTCGGTTATGAAGCATGTTAATAGATGAAAAAAAACAACTAGTTTGTAGCAGGCTTATTCCGAACTATGGAATAAGGTATCATTTAAATTAGTTATCAGCCTGCTAGTGGCACAAAAGTAAAAAGTCAAAACTATTTATCCTCTGAGGACTATGAAGGTTGGTTTGAAATTGCATGGGAAACTCAATTGGATTACCAACATACACACCAACGTGGGTATATCAATCAAGCACATGGCACTAAACCTCCTCTTGTTTTGCCTGTCCTCTCCACAGTTGCCAACTTTGACCCGAGCACCTTCAGCGTGATGCACTGTGAGTTCTGCCGCGCAGGGTTCGACACCCGGGCCGGCCTCTCCAGCCACGCCCGGGCTCACCTCCGAGACTTCGGCATCACCAACTGGGACGTCACCATCTCTCCCATCCACATCCTGAGGGAGCTGTTCCTCAGCAGGCCTGATCTTGTAATCCCCACCGATCCCCCTCGGAGCTCCGGCTCTTCACAGGAGGAGGAGGAGGAGGAGGAGGAAGAAGAGGAAGGAGATGAAGGAGATGAAGAGGAGGAGAGGGAACTAGGGGAGGGGATCGTAATGGTGAAGCTGGAGGAGGAGACGGAGAGTGAAAGGACGCTGAGAGATTCACTGCCTTCAGGATCTCCTAAACGATGTAAGAAGGAGGACGGGGAAGAAGAGAGCGAAGGTGAGTTTTCATTATTGATCCGTCCTTAAAAGTACTAATGTACCTTACTTAGTGGTTTCTTGTTGTCGCTAATCAGTGGGTTAATCTGATGATTACTTTCTAGATTAATCGGTTAATTGTTTAATCACTTATTGCCTCAAAACTCACCTGTTCAGATTGGCAGACTCACTCAGCATTAAACAGCTGGTTTGCTCGTTTACATACCTGTCCCTCCCTCCCTGTCTGCTTTTTAATGTATTGTGTGGTGACACCATGTTTGACCATAATTCACCTTTTGTATTATGTTGCCACACGGACCCTTTAGTGGGGACACTTAGCTTTAGCTCGTCTTTCCTGCCTAGCCTTGTCATACTGAGCAGACGTGTATTTACCTTCTTCATGTTATCCGATAATAAAGAGTGGAACTCTATTCTCAACACACCGCCTCCGACTCCCTTTCATCGGCACTGCAATTGTCTCTTTTCCTGTCTGCCCTGTATGTGTTTTAAGCTGTGCTGATTTTACTATGAGAATCAATACATTTTTAATTGTTAGGAAATTAAATGTATTAATAGTCTAATTAATGTCAGTGTAACATGTCCATCAGAGTTTCTCAAAGGTGGGGTCTTTAAATGCTTTGTCAGTCAACCAAAGATGATCACTTAAATATGATAATAAAATAGTAAATAACCGTAATGGAGATGCTGAAAACATCATTGTCTGCCATCGTGCATTAATAATTATTCTAACGATTATCAAAATATTTCTCGGCTACTGTTATGTCTCAACTAATCGATAATTCGACTAGTTTTAGCAGCTTTTTAGTTATTAAACTTGTCACAGATTTTCTATAAACTCAGAAATGTTGCCTGGATGAATACAGAAGACTGTAAATATGCATAAAGCGGTGGAAATGTGAGTTTAGATGCTGCTGCTGCTGTTTTAAGTGCCTTTGTAAGCTGTTTACTGAAAAAACACTGGACTGTCTGACCTGGTTGACACCGCCACAGGCTACAGTGAGTGAAGAGAATCAGGAGGGTGTCTGTGCAGAAAATCCGTCTGTGGGAGTGTGTGTTTGTGTGTATGTATGTCTATGTATCTGTGTGTGTGTGTGTGTGAGAGAGAGAGAGAGTCCCTGATGCCCGGTGGTTATGTGGCACTCGGTGCATTTACCCAACCTCCGCCTCCACTCGATTGGTCACGCCTTAGCTTAGCGGTGCATATGGGGGCAAAATGGCTGCTTCCACCTCCCCGTAGACCCAAACAATAGCGGAGAAAACTGTCTGGTTTTCGGCTGAGTCCGATGCACTGCGGACGGGTGAGTACCGCGCATTTCCGTGCGTAATCTCCCCGCGTATATTTTATTCTGTAAACATGTAGTCAGACAACAGCCATTAAAAAAAGTATTCATCATGTGAGAGTATGTGGTGAACAATGTTGCAGGACATGCATGTTCAAAGCTCATAAAGCGGGTCAGTGTGTGTGTGTCTCATGTGTGATTTCGGCTCTTTGTGATCTGTGTTTTTGTGCGTGTGTGTCTGGGATGACGTCCAGTATTTTTCGCTGCTGCAGGATCTCTATAAATTCCCCACAGTTGCCCAATCCTCGCCATTTTTACTGTGCTTTGATTTTTTTTTTATAGAGGACACGCTGTGCTTTCATGTGCAATCATTTGTGCATATTTTCAAGTGGTAAACTAAGAGTGAGATTTCCCAAAAACGTGCTAACTTTGTGCACTGATCCCCGGGTAATCCTATTACAACTTATCCGGAGTATAATGGAAGTATCACTTTTACTTCGGGAGGTGTCACTCTCCCTGAGCGGATACAAAGTCAAGTTTAGTTGCGTTTTTTAGATATAAATAGCCGTCTGATTACGCATTGTCTCCGTTATAATAGATGGTGTTATAACGCTGCGCGAGGTGTCACATATTTTACAGTCCACAGATGAACTGACACGCGCAGATCCGCCCACCAGACAGAGAGCATTGTCTGTCTCCACGTCGCTTTTGATTTACCGATTTGTCGCAGAAAATGGCACTTTTGTTCCAGGAATGCCTGACTGCGGGGAACCAGAGAGACTGCCATGTTTGTTTCATACAGTAGTGCAGTTTTACTTTGTGTGTGTGTGACAGGAGTTGATTTATTTCCATGTGCATCATACAGAAGATGTTTTTATACTCTGTTATTTTAAGGAGGGATACATTACAGGATATTTCTGCCCTCAGCCTGCGTCTTTTATTCATCCTCAAATATGTATTCTTATGCTTTGAACAGCTGATTTATATTAGGTGCAGACAAAATTAAATCTGATTGATTTAAGACAGATACTATGAAGATATTATTTGTCTTTTGACACATTATTTGGTCGATTTATCGATCAGTTGATAGATCCAGAAATCAAAACATCACTTGATATTTGGATGGTTTATTCTTTCTTATTAGGATCATTTGCATGGTCTTTCTACACAGGAGCTGAACTCGACTGAAGATATTCTTATTTGACAAACACTAATTATCTTTTGTCGACTAATTGATTATCTGATTTTATCAACACATGAGTATTTCCACAAGAAAGTCATGTAAAACATCACTTTATTGAAATGTAGTATCCCCCAATAGGCCTCATTCTCATGGCATTTCTACAGAAGGGCTCTTTTTTCTTTGTTGACTAATTGATTAGCAGATTTAATTCATACATCTGTAAAATTGAGTCCCTCCACAATAAGTCATGTGAAAAACAGCACTTTATTTTAAGAGGATTGATTCAATCAATCAATCAATCAATCAATCAATCAATCAATCAATATTTATATAGCCCAATATCACAAATGTTACATTTGTCTCAGTGGACTTCACAGTTTGTACAGAATATCAGTATGACAATACGACACCCTCTGTCCTTAGACCCTCTGTCCTTAGACCCTCACATCGTACAAGGAAAAACTTCCAGAGAAAACCCACAGTTTAAAGGGGAACATGGGAGAAACCTCAGGGAGAGCAACAGAGGAGGGATCCCTCTCCCAGGACGGACAGACGTGCAATAGATGCCGTGTGTAAATCAAAAAGATAATACATTTTACAACATAGGTAGACCAAGTGTTTGGAAATGCATGTGTCTATAATAAGAAGATGAATCCACGAGGATGTCAACAATCATGTGGGAGTCATCAGGGAAGTAGTATGGTGAGAGTCTGGCAGGACCGCAGAGACAGGTTCAGCCACGACCTCGAAGTCCAGGTCTCAGATCAGGACTCAAGGATAGAGGATCCAGGACGCGGATCGCAAACATATCCACTATCTGGCGATAGTTAACATGGCCATTTCTACACACAGGGCTGTCCTTCGACTTAAACATTTTTTAGGCGTTTTAACGATTTGTTCACACATCAAGTTGATTGATTATTATAATCTGTTGAACTAAGATTCCTCCACAAAAATCTGCGGAAAGCACTTACTTATAAATATTATATTACCAGAGATCTCGCTGTTGATAGGTTTCCCTTATTGTCGTAATGCACTATAGCTACAGCTCGTTCCCAGGTCCTCCAACCAATGCAATATACTTATAACATAAAAGGCAAGGAGACATATAATGGTGCAAGCGAGGTGGCAGGGAGAAGAAAAAAATGTACAACAAAGATAGAATAAATGTCAAATGATACCGTACACTACATTAAATAATCAATAATACATTTGATCTTTTCTAAGTGCTTTTTCAAAGGGGGCTCAAAGACACTTAAACAGTGGTGATAAAAAGGAAATAAAAAAAATATTAAACAACACAACATAATTCCACA